GACATTTTTCTAAACTTTCTGATAAATACCTTTCAAATTTCGCCCCAACCCATTGTAATCCAAGCCATAACCCACCACAAATTCGTCAGAAATATTAAACCCGATATAATCCAAAGATACAGGATAGCGCACCACTTCTGGCTTTAGCAAAAGAGAAACTAATGCAATAGATTTAGGCGCGAAAGTAGAGAGCGTTTTTACCTGCTGGGCATAGTGCGAATGCAGCATATTGGTTCGATACTAATTCGGGAAATTGGATTAGTAGCACGTATTATATGAGTGAAATGCCAGAATGGGCGAAAAATTTTAATGCACAAAAAAGATCGGATAAACTCATGCAAACGCCATGGAATACGCTTTTGCCCATCTCGCAATATACTGAAAGCGAAGCAGATAAACAAGATTACGAGGTAAATTTACCTTTAGAATCGGAGCCAACTTTTCCACACCAAATAAAAAATTATGCTGCGTTGCCTATTTCTCCTTATGGTAATACTTTGACTAAAGAGTTTGCACTTGCCGCACTTAAAAATGAACGACTTGGGCAAGGTGTTGTAACTGATTTTTTGTGCATTAGCTTTTCTTCGCCAGATTATATTGGACATTCTTTTGGCACGCACGCTATTGAAATACAGGACTGTTATTTGCGCCTGGATAGAGATATTGCCGAAATTTTGACTACGCTCGACCAAACGCTTGGAAAAGATAACTATTTAACCTTTTTGACGGCAGATCACGGTGTGGCAGATATTCCTGCATTTTTGCAAAAACATAAAATTCCGGCAGGTGTTGTAGAAGGTGCAAAACAATCTAATTATGTTCAACAAGCCTTAGCTGCGGCTTTGGGCGAGGGAAAATGGGTGCTTGCGAGCATGAATAATCAACTTTATCTGAACCAGGATTTAATGGATGAGAAAAAAGTAAGTCTTTCACAAGTTACCGAAATAGCAAAAAAAACATTGTTGACTGGCGACTCTCCGCTATATCAAATTTTTGATTTTCAGCATTTTAATGAAGTGGTTTTACCTGATTATTACCGAAATTTAATTAATGGCATTTACAACCCTAAGCGGAGTGGCAATATTATGATGATATATGAGCCTGCTTGGTTTATTGGAAATAAAAAAGGAACGACACATGGCGCAATGTGGAATTATGACACCCACGTTCCGTTGCTATGGTATGGTTGGAAAATTCCGCATGGCGAAACGGTAGAACGTACCCATATTTCGGATATAGCACCTACGCTGGCAGTTTTACTAAAAATTTTGGAGCCAAATGGTTGTGTTGGTAAGCCTCTGAAAGCACTATTAACCCCGATGCGATAAGAAAAATCGTGTAAAGCGGGGGTTATGAATGGCAACCTAAGAAACTGTTTTAAAACAGGTTAAGTTTTTTTAATAAAAAGTTCTTATATTTACGCCTATTTTAATAATTTAATAAAAATTAATCAATCATTATAACTTTCAAAATATGTTCGATAGTCTTAGTGAACGTTTAGAAGGTGCGTTTAAAGCACTCAAAGGAGAAAATAAACTGACAGAACTCAATGTTGCCGAATCTATCAAAGAAATTCGTCGTGCATTGGTCGCTGCCGATGTAAATTATAAAATATCTAAAGAATTTACAGATAAAATAAAGGATAAAGCCATGGGCTCCGAAAACGTGCTGAAAGCCGTTAAGCCGGGCGAGCTGATGGTCAAAATAGTTTTCGATGAGCTGGTCGAGCTAATGGGAGGACAGTCTGTTGGCATCAATTTGAAAGGCAGCCCTTCGGTCATTTTGATTGCAGGATTGCAGGGTTCGGGGAAAACCACTTTTTCGGGCAAATTAGCATTTTATCTAAAAACAAAACGGGCAAAAAAACCATTATTGGTGGCTTGTGATGTGTATCGACCAGCTGCGATTGACCAATTAAGTGTTTTGAGTGAACAGATTGGCGTATCTATTTATAAAGAAATTGAAAACAAAAACCCTGTTGAAATTGCACAGCACGCTGTTGCGGAAGCCAAATCGAAAGGTTATGATGTGGTGATTGTCGATACTGCGGGTCGTCTGGCGGTTGATGAAGATATGATGGCTGAAATCGCCAACATCAAAAATGCCATTCAACCTACCGAAACGCTTTTTGTAGTCGATTCTATGACGGGGCAAGATGCCATCAATACAGCTACAACTTTCCACGAGCGCATTAATTATGATGGTGTAGTATTAACAAAACTTGATGGCGATACTCGCGGTGGTGCGGCACTTTCTATCAAGTATAGCGTAGGCAAGCCCATCAAATTCGTCAGTATGGGCGAAAAAATGGATACTTTAGATGTCTTTTACCCCGATAGGATGGCACAACGCATTTTGGGTATGGGAGACATTGTTTCGCTTGTCGAGAAAGCACAAGAACAATTTGACGACGCCGAAGCGAAACGAATTGAAAAGAAAATTCGCCGCAATCAATTTGATTTTAATGACTTTTTGAGCCAGATTAATCAAATCAAAAAAATGGGTGATTTAAAAAGCATTATGGGTATGATTCCGGGCATGGGAAAAGCACTAAAAGA